CTCTTGCTCATAAAGGCATTTTCAGACTTTTTTGTGATAATATCCCTGGGGCCCTGAGCAGAACAGTTCATCCCAAAAGCAGGGCTTGGTGAGATGCTGTTTTCTAAAGCAAAAGAGTGTGTGAGCTGTTGTCAGCCCTCATCGGTCATGGTGGACAGTCTGGACCAGGTAATGGAAGCACCAACTTTAGCCAGTCTGGGCATCTCCAGGCTAACATCAAAACCACCGTAGAGAAAGGTGCCAGACATTGCTTTCTGCTGTGAATGGCTTCTTTTGACCTTTTAAGGTGAAACAGGATGATTTATATATGCAGGTCCCCTATGCCTTATTGTCAAGTTGCACCCCAGAGGAATGCAGGCAGCACTGCAAGAGGAAGAAAGGAAAAGCCATGTCTGCTGGCTAAACTCCATCCCCTCCTTTTCCCAAGCTCAGCACTAAATGATGCCACTGCCCAAGGCCCGGTCTCCCTGGAAGGTCTTCCTGGTACCTTGAGAGTCTTGCCACCCACCAAGAGGCAGTCACTTGACATGAACTCCAAATTAGCAAGACTGAATTTCTAGGTTACGTGCTATTTGATCTTTGCATGGAACCATTATGTTCCAAATTTTCCAGTAGAGCTCTCCTGTTGCATACTTGGTCCTACTGGTCCCATAAGTACACATGTGTTTGTCAGACCTTAACCTGATTTAGGGCTAGAAAAAACAGGCTCAACACATGCGTGGGCCAGTAGCGATCTTGTGTTCACAGAATGTTTGACAGCAGTTGCTTCACCAGGCTTATCTAGGGTCCCTTTTCCTTCACCAGCATGAGCAGCCAGCCCTGAAGAAGGCCCGGCGCTTTCTTATCAGCTGTGAATGTGGCCTATCTGAGAACACTTGGGTGGAGAAATGTCGTGTATTTTCCAAATTAGAACTTGAGTTGGAGGAGCTGTTTCTGGGGCAGCTGTGAGCCAATCCCAAGAAGCTGTTAAACATCCAGACCCTGAGAGCCACACTCTACATGGCAGGGTGGAGAGGAAGAAGTCTGGCCACACGCCTTCACAAGCCAGCCTGGCTCTGCCACCCCAGGTGGGCCGCAAGGAAAACAGATGGAAGTGAGAGCCTTTCCTGGACTGGCCTTGGAAACATCTGGGCTCTCCTGGAAGCAGGGACTACACTAGACTCCCCCGCCTTCCCGGCAGATGCTGCAAGCACGTGTCCCTGCTTTATAGACTCAGGTCTGGAAGCCGAGAGCCACAGTCTAAGGGTGTGGGGGGCCTTTTGCACAGTAGTGAAGCCACAGGCTAGGGGCCAGACCACTTGGCACTAAGCCCTGTGCTGCCACTTCCCAGCTATGCGACCTTGAGCAGATCACTCCACCGCTCTGGACTCACTCTTCTCATCTGAAAAATATGGTTAGAAATAGTGCCTACTTCCTAGGGTTGGTGCCGGGAGGAGGTAGAATGGTCCAGTAGAGTGCTGTGGGCTGCTGTCGCCATGGCAAGTCTTCAGGACACGTTCATTAAGTTGGAGGGCTTTTGGTGTTCCAGGGCAGCCTCCCCACAGTGGCAGAATCCCCAGCCAGGCACTTCCTCAAGTCACTGCTTGGATACCTCTGAGGGTAAGAAACCTACTCCCTCTTAAAGCACCCTATTCCACCTTCAGATAAGCCTGTTTCTCAGACCGATACGTGTTTATCTGAAGTCTTTCCCAGACACTTCCCAGTTGGCCATAGTTCCATCCCTGTGGTCAAACAGAGCTCATCTAGCCCCTCTTCCTCAAATAGCCACTGAGATCCCGTGAAAACCACTGACATTACCCCCTGCCTGTGCCTTTTAACCATTCCACCAGTCCTGCCTTTTCCTGACAAAACACCTTCAATTTCTTCTAATGGTTACTGAATGACGTTGTTTCCAATGCCTTCATTTTTGTGGTTTCTGTCTCGGGAACACACCCTGTGCTTACGAATGTGACCTGGCTCCATGTGCATGGAGTCCCTTCCACGTGCCTGAGACACAAAGATGAGAAGACATTATGAGGCTCAAGGAGCTCTCAGCGAGGCAGGGAATGGCATTCTGGAGGGAGGAGGGGAGGTACCGCACGAACTGGGATTGGAGGCACGAAGCCAGAGAACTGCAGGGTGTATTGCTCAAGCCTAAGGTATAAACTGGGAGTTATCTGAGATCAAACTGGGGAAGGAGGCAGGTGAATTTACCTGCAAATTACAAGGAGTCACTGGGTGACTTTCAGCTAGAGAGTGACACATTCCAGTGTGTACTTCAGGAAGAGCATTTTAAATGCAGCTCAAAGACTGGGCAACACTGAAAGCAGGGAGACCAGTTGACCAAATGACGAGGACCAAGGGGCCAGAGAGGAGGAAAACGAGTCATGGGCGGAAAGGCTAACACTGGCTCTTCCTGTGGGGGTCAGGACAATGAGTGACTGCTTCCCTGTGTTCTATAATTTCTCTATAATAAGTATTTTCTGTTTTCTCTATAATCAGCATACATTATTTATACAGTAAGAAAAATGTATTCATGTCTAAAGATACTAGGAAACCAAACCAGCAGGACTTGGTTACTGAGTGGAAGGACGAGCCTAGGAAATGAGTTTTCTAGCCTGGGTGCTCAGGTGAGCGACGTGGCCCCAACCTGGGTGGGGATGTGAGGAAAAGGGCATTTGCAGGAATTCTTATGGCATCGCTGACAGCTGAAGTGACGCCTACAGGCTGCTTTCACTCCACTTGGCCTCTCTGCAGCCTATGCAGTGCCTCTGTCCCCTGCAGGCCCTGAAACTCACCTGTCCCTTAGATACCTACCTGGGAAGCAGATGTCCGTGCAGCAATGCTCACCAGCACTCCAGGACAGCAACGGCATTTATTTAGATGATAAGTTTTGTCACTCCTTCAGTAAATATTTACTGCATGCCCACATATCCTCAGCACCAAGCCAGGACTTAGTGATAAAATAGGGAGAACAGGCACAGTCCCTCCTCACAAAACTCAGCCGAATGTGAGAGACAGATATAAATGTGTTAAAATCCCGTTAAGGAACATAACATTTCAAATTGAGGTGCGCGCTCCAGAGGAAAGGAAATAGTTCCAAGAAGTTATAAAGGAAATATGTATGGTCTGGGAGTTGGACGATGATCCCTGGGGAAAGAGATACTTGGGCCGAGAGTGAAGGATAAGTAGGAGGAAAGTGGGGAAAAGCATTCCAGGGTGAAGGGAACAGCATGTGTGGTGGCCCTGTGGTGACAGGAACAGAAGCTTATTTGACTCTCTAAAAGAAGATCTGTTTTACTGGAGTGGGTTGGGGAGAGGCAGTGGGTGGAGAGGTGAGTGGAGCCAGACCCTACAGGGCCCTTTAGGGCACAGTCAGGATCTTGGTCTTCATCCTAAGAGCAGAGGAAGGTTCCAGCAGGCCTGAGGCAGCTTGCTGAGCAGCCCTCCAGCTGCGGCCTGGAGGGAAACCTCCCAGTGAGTGTCCCTTTATGTCCCATACCCGCCATTCTCTTGCCATGGGAAGCTGTGGGACTCAGGCCTGCTGAGATGCCCCTCACGCCTGGGTAGCCCAGATTTGGGGTTCCCCCAACCTCCAGGAGCGCTTGGAACACATCCCCCACCCCACCCCCAGCAGATGCCCTGAAAGTCGCTTTGCAGTTCAGTTCTCAACTTTCTTTTCTGCGTACTCTAACACTAATGTGTGTACGACTTCCTAATTAATGGAATCATTTCCATCTGAAAACATCTTGTTCTAATGGGAGACTGCAAGCACTCTCATTAATTCACAGGTAAAATCATTCCAGCTTTTCTCTTCTTTTTTTTTTTTTAATCTTTTCAGCTTGGCTTAATAGCTGGGGAGAATTGTTCTAATCAGCCTTGTGAGAATCACACCGCCAGAATGAAAAGCACCAACAACGGTCTTGGGGTTTGGGGAGGGGGTGACCAGCCTTTGTCTGCCCAGGGGCAAGGGCAATGTAAAAATGTGAGGGTGAGACGCCCTACACGTAGAAGATAAAGACACAAAAAGTGACCTGTGTGGTGTAACTAGGAGGGGGGTGGCCTGTCCTGTGTGTGTCAGCGGAGGGACTCGGTGACTTTCTGCACCACTGGCTCTGCTGGAGGGAAGGAGGAGCTGCCTCCGCCTTCTCACCTGGCTTGTGAAGACTCACTGCACTTGCCTGGGCAGGAATCTCACACGCGACTTTCTCAGGGCTTGGTGTTATCTGGGGGTGACTTGTTGGTAACCACCTTCTTGCCATTTGCAAATGATTTGCAGTGTCTGTTTAAATGAGCTGCATCCCTAGTGTGTTATTTCTGATGTAACCGAGCTTAGTAAGGGGGGGGGGCCTTCTCCCCATAGACCACAGTGCAAGCCCCAGACCTCACCACCAGCACCCATGTGCCCAGCCAGGCTCTTCCTTTACTCTTTTTTACCGAAGGATCTGGGTGTGTTTTAGAGTTTCTTTTCTTGTGGTACGAAGAACAAAACAAAATTAATCGTTTTAACAATTTTCAAGTGTACGGCTCAATGGCACTAAGTCTATTCACACTGTTGTGCAACCATCGCCACCATGCAGCTCCGGAACTTCTTCCAGTCCCACCATGGGGAAAACCTGGAGGATAAATGAGTCCCTGCATGGCCGTCTTGAGTCCACCTGAGCTCTCACTGTCCTGAGATTCTGCTCTAAGAGAAAAAGATGCTCAGTTGTCTCTAAGATGGGGTATTACACAATTTGATAGTTATGGATGAAAACAACATGTTCTTCCCTTGGAAGTACAGCAGCTGCCAGTCCTTTGCTTTGGATGAGTCTCCAAGACAGATTTGGAGTGAGACCAACCTGGATTTAGACCCCTGCACCGTCAGTCCTTGGCGTGTGGCTCTGAGCCTCTGTCTTCTCATCTAAACAACAAAGGCTGGCACATCCTCCCTTGCAGAGTTGTAGGAAGATTTCATGAGATCGTGTCAGCACGGCACCCACGGTGGTGCTGGGTTTTAGTGAGTGACTCTGTCCCCGCAGGTCTCCAGGTGGTTCTGAATTCTATCATCAAGGCCATGGTTCCCCTGCTGCACATCGCCCTGCTTGTGCTGTTTGTCATCATCATCTACGCCATCATCGGCCTGGAGCTCTTCATGGGGAAGATGCACAAGACCTGCTACAACCAGGAGGGCATAGCAGGTAAGAGGGGCAGGCAGCCACGCTCCCGAGGCCCTGCCTTCTATCGATCCCAGCACCATTCCCATTGCGAGCTACACCAATGTGACCAACAGAGCCCAGGGAAGGCCCCCTCCGCTCACACACCTGCTGGGCCTGGGTAAGTGAGAGGCAGAGACCCATATCCTTTTTTTCTCAGTTCCAGTTTTTGTTTTAATCTCTGTTAAACCAGCCTAATGCAAACTACATTCAGCATTTTTCAATAAGCGACACAATTTGAGAAACATTTGAATAATTTAGAACCTATCTTTTGTCAATCTGCCACTTTTCAAGCCAACCCTGAGTGTTTTAGGAATCAGAGCTGAGCTGGGGATGCTGGTCTCTGCTTCTTGGGCACTTCAGTGTGGCTGGCCATTGGGAGCCCTTTCAGGGAGCTGCTCAGCCCTAAGCAGCAGGCTCTTCCAGTACCACTCTGAGATCCTTCTACCTTCGTGGTGCTGATTCTGGCCTCTCTGTAATTATTGTTTCTGCTTCTCCATTCACAGCTGATGCCCCAGTGCCCCTATCCCAGGTGGGAGAGGAGGGCAGGTGGGAATCACTCCCTTTGCCAGCAGCCAAACTTCCTTCCCTCCAGGAGAAGGCTTAACTCCACCCCATGACTCCCAGTCCCTTTCTTTTTGAGCCTTCCCACTTCACAGTTCTTCTATAAATCAATATATTTAACAGCAATGCTGGCTCATTAGGTACTTCCCTGCATGGCACTGGAGTTTTGGCTTGCAGGATATGCTGCAAGCTGCCACTAAAGCTACTAACATCACAGCTTGGCCTTTTAAAGAAACATTTAAACAGAAATTGACAAGGTTTTTAAACAGACATATAAAGCAGCTTAACACAAAGAACTTGTTGAAAAAATATCCCCCTCCCCAAAGGGGCTAGCTGTGTTAAATGTATAGGATGTTTTTTCATACAGCAAGATCCATCATCTTAGATTTTGGCATCTTGGTGGAGAAAGGGGAGCATCATCTGCTGGGAACAGTAAAGGATACCTAATTTTCTCCATCGACCCCACACCTTATTCCCACTCAGTGCCGGCATTCAGTTAAATGGGACCCCTCTGGCTTCGCCGGGGTGAGGAGCGATGGCTTCGCTGGGGTGAGGAGCGATAGCTTCCAAACAAGAGGGAGTGAAATTTGTAGCAGAAACCAAAGTAGATTATTTTCTATGTATCATCTGGTTTGACTGGATGGATTAACTGTGTTTTTGTGAGGTTTCTAGTTTATTTCCACATCGCTACAGTCCTAAAAACAAAACAAAACAAAAAACCACATACACAAAACATACTCCTTTAGACACAGAATCACACAAATGTTTTCACTTTTTTGATGGAAGTCTGTTTAACAGGAGACTTTTTTCACTCTAGAGAGAATTTCCAAATTACTTGGGTCATAATTGTATAAAATAAACTATCATGTTTTCAAAAATAGAATCCTTGTTAAATTGGAAAAAGCAGGTCTTGTGTGTAGCTAAAATTCTGAGATTTTTCAGCCTTGCTTCAAGAAATGCAACCCGTATGTGAATAATATTTTCCTTTTTAATTAAAATCCTTCCTTTTATTCAGGTTGATTTGTAGCTAGCTCAGAACCAATAAATTTATATGAATTGTGCGGCTCTGTGAGAGCTCATTTTAAGACTCCGTAAGAGCTGACTGTGGTATGTCTAAAGCTGATGCAGTTGTATTAAAATTATCAATGACCCATTTGACCCAGACTCCTCAGAAAGTCACAAACATGTGTAGTCTCAAAGATTCCCCATCAGTTCAGCAGTGAATGATGGTGACGCCCTCAGCAACAAAATGTGGGAGAGCAAAATGGTGGAATTCAGCCATCGAGCTGAAGACAGCAGCCCCACTGTGCAATCAGATGTCTGTGTACCACAGAGCTAAGGAGGGCAGCTCCAAAATGCAGGTGATTTCCATCATCCTAATGGGAAAGCAGCCCAAGTGTGTTTTCTGACTGTGGTGGGATCCTGCAAGGGCCTTGAATATTGGTTGGAAGTCCTGGGCTTTGCTACCAGGCCTCAGTGACCCTGGATACTCTGAAAATGACAGGCATGGTAGACAAAGAAAGCATGACACAAAGAGGGAGCCATCCTCAAGGCCATAGTCTCAGGGCCCAGTGAAGAGGTCACCTCAAGTACTGAACCTATCATGGCCTCCCCTGTGTTTAGGACAAAGACAAGACTTGGCCTCCCCAATTGGAACAGCCAGTTTAGGATCACGTTGTCCACCCTTGATAGTAAACCAGGAAAAGTGCCTGAGAAATTGCTCTGACCAAGAGACTCATCAGATTGTTTATGTGTTGAGTTTATCTTTGTCTGCAAGTTCAGAAGAGAAGTAGGCTTCTGTCACGAAAATGGCCATGAGTCATAGGGGCCAAGGTGTCAGAGGACAATGACAGAAGTGCTCCAGAGAGAGGGGCCCTGCCAGGCTCCATGAGAAGGTGGCCTCACTCATTCACCTGAGCCAGACTCCCTGCTGGGAAGCGGGGCCCAGGACACAGCTGCGGAAGCCTGTCCTCTCAACCTCTGCAATCAGAAGCTTGCCTTCCCTTCGTTCCCAAACCTGCCATCTGATCACAAGCCAGGACCCACTCTGTCACTCCCAGCACAGCACAATGCTGCTGCCATTGAGCCCTTGTCCATCCACATAGTCACCAGTGCAGACATGGAGAGAAAATGTGCAAGAATCCGGACATATCCATGCAGCTGTGGAGTAGAAGACCAAATACTTGTAGGCTTTCAAATCAACCCCTAAGTGTTTTGGAGAGCTTCACATAAACTTTGGAATGGGTGGTTTAAATTTTTTCTTTCTTTTTTAAAAAACTTTCAGGTTTTGGATTGATTGAATTACCGTATTTTCTGAAAATTTAGATTACACAAAACTACTTTGTGAGCCTTTGTTGTAATTTTTGATGAGATTTACATCAAATTATTTTTATGGTCTGATCATTATTTCACAAACTATGAATTTTATGTATCTCTAGATTTCAAAATACATTATGTTTTGAGGCGTGTTTCCAATAAAATCCACAAAGATAGCTCTGGAATTATCCGGGTGAACCATGTTCTGCCTCACGGCTGCCCTTCCAGAGAACAGTCCCTGGTGAAGATGGTCTCAGAAGAGGCAGTTTCCCTAATCCCTGAGACATCTGCAAGGCGCCTTCTGAGCTCCTCAACAGACACATCACCATATGCCGACACCTTTTGTTTCTGGTCGTCCCATCTGTTTGATGGTGCGCTGAGCCAGGTCACTCTGAATAGCTTCCCAAGCACAGTAATTACCCCCGAGACTGGCACAGAATTGGTTGGCTAAAACCTAGAAATGAAATCATCTTCATTCTATTCACTCCTTAAAGTTGAGTTTCAAAAAAGTAATTGATTTTTGTCGTTAGTGATTTCTCCTTGGAATCACTAACTGGAGCTCTCCCAAGATTTCATGTTTTTGTTGTTACTGTGTTTCTAAAATCTCTCCTAATCTTCACCTCCATTATTTTACCAAAAACTTAATTTAGGCTTCCCAGAATGACTCTACCTCTCTTCATTTCTGTTTTAAAATGTAGAGCCAGCATCGCTTTGTTTGTTTCTCCAACCTTATGTTCCCACTTTCCTCCCTGGGACTTCATGACTCTGCAAAAGAAAACCAACACATTTTTACGTTTGAGCAAATTTCTCCTCACCCTAGAGTGTGTGTGGCTAGGACCTGCTAATTTGTGTGTGTTCACATTTTTTCAAGTGTTCGCTTTAATGCTTTTTATAGATACCTATTTTTACCAGACCATCTTCTTAATTGTTCTCAAATCTTTTTTATTATTGTTCAAATCAGATTTTAAATAGCAGAACGGCACTAGAGCCTTTAGATAATGTGTCTGAATCTCATCCCGTTCTCTCGTTAGTGAGATCACTTCCCCTTAGTGCCATTTTCTTTTTCACAGACATTAATAAAATCCCCAGAGATGTTTTCCTGCCTTGAGGACACTCAGAACTCCCTTTGGCAGCTTTCTCCTTTCCCTCTTTGTGATGTTTCAGGAATTGGGAGTGCAGGGAATGCTGTCAGATGGGCAGTCCCAATGTCAAGGTTAACTGCATCTTTATTCTGCTAAAAAAACAAAACATGAGAAAAAGATGCAAGCCTCTCCTTTACTTTTTCACCCTCTCTCTTTGTGCCATCTCTCCCATCATTCCAGCACTTTTATCACAGTGACTGAACACGTCTCTCTAGAAAGCTATATCTAGAATGGGTGAGAACCCAACAGAATTAATGATCCACTTGGCTCATGGTTTTCTGGTCTCTCAGCTCTCAAATGTTTAGGTGCTTATTACCCACTTTTTCGTGTCTTATTTAGGCTTAGGGTTTACATTTTAGTCTCCCCTTTTTTTGTAGCATCACACCCAAATCTCTAAAGATTTCCCATTTCTGAAAGTCACAAAAAGTTGTAATTAGAGGACTGCTTATTTCAGCTGCATTCATGGAACCCTCCTGGGAGCTGGCCCTTGAAATGAGGAAATGGCATGAACAGTGTCTCTCTGACAGTTCAGGGACCAGCAGTGCAGACCTTTGCACCTTGATCAACAAACACAGGACTCACACACAACTTTAAGCACCGGCCCAAGAATCCTCCAGGAAGCAGCATTATTCATAATAGCCCAAACCTGGAAACAGTCCAAACGTCCATCAGCTAGTGAATGGATAAACATACAATGAAAACACACTGCTCAGCGATAAAGAGGAACAGAGCCTACTGATATATGCAACAGCACGGATGAAACTCAAAACATTATGCTAAGTGAAAGAAGATGGACATAAAAAGCCTCATAGTGTGTGATTCCATTTATATGAAATTTTTAGAGGAGGCAAAGCAATGGAGACAGAAAGCAGATCAGGTTGCCGGGGGCTGGTCATGGGAGCAAGGATTGACTGCAAATAGGTGCGGGGGGTTTCAGGGAGTGGTGGGCATGTTTTAAATGGATTGTAGTGATGGCTGCTTGACTATGTAAATTTACTAAAAATAATTAAGCTGTACGTTTACATTGATGAATTCTGAGGCATATAAATTTTAAGTCTATGAAACCAATGGGGTCAGTGGGAGAGAAAGAGAGGAGAGGAGAGGAAGGAGGAGGAGGAGGAGGAGGAAATGACAGAGGAGAAGGAAGAGGAAGTGGAATTGACAGAGAACAAGAAGGAGGAGGAGGAGGCTGCAAAGATGACCACGAAGGCAATGGTGACAATGAAGAGGAGGATGAGGAGGAGGACCTGCCCCTGCTGCTGGGAAGACACAGTTGGGCACATGTTTTCAAGCAGACTCTATTCTCCTAAGAATTATCTCTTACTTAAGGATTCATATTTCTCTTCCTGTCTTCCTCCTGGGAGTGAACAGCTTCAAATTTAAAGCCACCAACTGAGAATCAGCCAGCTGACCAGTCATCTTCAATGCAGAGCCTATGTGCTATAGGCAAAGTAATCACACGTGTGGTTGTTTTGATATATATAAAACAAGAAAACAATCCTGGGTAATCTGTTGTCTCTACATGAAGAACTATAAGCAAATTCTCTCTCTCTGGGAGCCTATTTTCATTGTTAGAGGCAATCATTTGTTTGCTGGAACTGAGGCCTCTTCCGTCTGTTTTTGTCATTACTTTGTCTAAAGACAGAACAATGTCTTTGATTGCACAGACTTTTGTAAATTCCACACCATTACCTTCCATAGCCAGAGCCAAGACTTTCTCAGTGTTTTCCCATAATGGAATTTCTTAGATCAGTCAGGTCTTGTTTAAATTTACCAAATATCTCCACACTCAAAATATAAATCACATCTTCATTCATTAATTTGCTGGGAGCTATTTCCAGCACGTGGCATTAGTCCAACTGCTGCCTTTAGCCACAGACGCTGTGTTCTACTATTTCCTGACAAAACCCCGTCCGTACTGAAGAAGCATGCTCCCTGTCACTCACCGCCGCTCTGTCTTAATTAGAGGTCAGAACATGATTCTTCTCTTCTGAAAGGTATTCATGCTGGAGAGCAAAGGGCAGAGCTGTGAGGTCCCACATGACATGCATGACAGTCAGTAGTGTGTCCTCCTAGGCTGTAATGAAAATGGCTGCAGGTCATCCCTCTCCCCTGTAGTCAGTCTATTTTCCACCTTTCACCTGTATTAGGCTTTATTGTAAAGTGACTTGCATCCCCGGCAATGTATCCTCTACTGTGTAATGGAGCCATATAGTTAGAAAGCACTGTTGGATGGGATTGGTTGGCTATCTATGTGAAGTAGCCATTGGATTGATACTGTCCTTATGCGAAATCCTGGTATTCCAGTAAATGTCTATAGAATTCTACTACCAAAAAAAAAAAAAAAGAAAGAAAGAAAAGAAAATATGGACTTCCTATCACTTTCTGGGTCAGCTTCCACTTGCAGTGGTGGCATCATCATTGTTTTTTGATTGGCCATTTGATTATGATGCTGGCATATTGCAACAGAGTGGCCCTACTGTCTTTGAAATCAATTACTGAGATTAAAATACAGCTTTTACAACAGTGAGTGGAAAGGACTGACCTTCTAAATTAGTGACAGCCTAAACGGAATGTCCACTTTCTTATCATGCTTACTCCACATCTAGGGGACCCGATGTAAACGTGTCTTGCACTGTTGTTGTCGTGGTTGCTTTGCCCATCCCATCAACCTCATCCTGTCACTTTTCTCTCTGACTTCTTTCTCTGCCCACCTCTCTCCCTCTCTGTTGCTCCTGTCTCCTGTCTTCCTCTGGCCATTTGAGATGTTCCAGCAGAAGATGACCCTTCCCCTTGTGCGCTGGAAACAGGACATGGGCGGCAGTGTCAGAATGGCACGGTATGCAGGCCCGGCTGGGATGGGCCCAAGCACGGCATCACCAACTTTGACAACTTTGCCTTCGCCATGCTCACAGTGTTCCAGTGCATCACCATGGAGGGCTGGACGGACGTGCTGTACTGGGTACGTAGCAAGTGGGCAGTCAGAGGGCAGGGGCACAGAGGCCATGAGCCCTTCCCTGACACCTCCCTTTCCCCTCCTCCCTATGGTCTAGGGGTCACATACACATCTTGATAGAATGGTTGATGAAGAACTTCTTCGATTTCTTCTAGGTCTTGCCTGAGAAACAAGGCGTGAGCTTTTCACCCTAACAAGTCCCCTCCCCTACCTGCCAGCCTTAGGGAAAGGTTATTTTTCAGTGCATCCCACCACAGTGCAAAACCCTGGTGTGCAGGCATGGATGAGCTGGCCAAGCTGGCACAAGTGTTCCGTTCAACTCCTCCTCCCATACGGAGAGCCTTCTGCCCTCATCCTTTTCTTGCCCCTTTCCTCAAAAGGGAGCTAGAAGGCAGAATTATGAATTCTTAGGGTGAAGAGAAAAAGTCAGTCCTGGTCTTCTGAAAAGAAATTATATAAAGAAACCATTTTTATTGAATTATGTAGCATTGTGACATGCTGTTCAATTTTTACTTTCTATTTTAATATTTAGAATAGACCACCACACAAATGCATTGGCAGCATTTTCACTATTGCCAAAACAGGCTGCTGGTCATGTGATGCCTATTTAGAAATACACTTTTTAAAATGTTTATTTTACTTTGAGTTCTAGGACAAATGTGCAGAACGTGCAGGTTTGTTACATAGGTGTACATGTGCCATGGTGGTTTGCTGCACCTATCCACCCCTCATCTAGGTTTTAAGCCCCACGTGCATTAAAAATAGAAATACCACTTCTCGAGAGCCACCCAATCAATAGTAAATCTTCATTTACCTTAAAGTTGCCCCTTTTATTATCCAGTAGCCAACACAACTTTGCCAGGCTTCGAGCCTCTAAAGTGCCAGATTTTTAAGCTGCCTACCCCGCAGGCAAATCCACACTCCGTATTTGAGCTGTCTCCATTCTGGCAAAGTCCATTATTAGGAAAAACTCCAGAAAATATATTCTTCAGAGTGTCTCCAACTTCAGCATGAGAAATTACTTGCCAGAATCCAGTGTTGTCCTCCAGAATTTGGGCGAATAAAGCATGCTGCCAGTCTTAAAAATACCATCTCCTTCAGAGTTTTGCAAATAGGCAAATTTATTTGGCCATCGTGAAAACAATCTAAGAGCCTGCTCAGGAAACAAGTCTACAAACCAAAGCAGGGAAGAGTGAATGGGGAGCGAATGCTTCCCATTGAGCAGAGCTGCCAGATCAAAAGGAAACCATGCCAGGAGAGGCGCTGACTTCTTCCTGAATTGAAAGGAAGAGTTTTGTAACTGTACAGATATGTGGTGCACAGTATTCTATCATATGATTTCTTTAAAAGCTCGATGTCCTATTGATTCAAAAACCCTCTTTCTGAGTTTTTATGTGATGGACAACGTGCCAAAACCCAGTGTTGCTCTGACATGTGTACCTCTCTCTGTAAGTGATGATTTGAAACTTGCCCAAGGACCTTGTACCCAGCAAATATTTCCTGAGTGTCCTTGCATGCCAGGGGTGCTCCTAGGCTCTGAGGCTTTAGTCATAAACAAGATCCAGTCCAGTCCAAGTAGCTCAGTCAACTCAATTCTAAATCGAATTATGGCAATGTGGCCGGACCCGTGCCATGGCAAAGCTGCCGTGTTGTGACAAAAGTCACATCCCCTCTGCCTCATACTCAAATGAAATATTGGAAAACATTTCTCAGGTTCATGATCAATAAGAACTTGGTTTTGAATAATTTGTAAGACAGAGAGGAGATGAACTTATTACACTTAGGCAAATTTACAGCTAGTGCTCGACTTATGACCACGGTCAGGACCGCGGACCGGTCGTAACACGATTTGGTCGTAAGTTGAGTAGGCTATATGTACAGTTGAAATGGTGCATGCGGAGATGGTAGTGCTGCCAGAAGCTGGTCCGCACTGTCATATGCCCAGCTGGGCAACGTTTGCACTGCCAGACGCGGAGCAGTCATGGCCAGCGATTGTGGTCGTAAAGTCGAATGGTCGTAAGTTGCGTAGGTGGTAAGTCGATCAATACCTGTATTTTGTTTAGCAAAGCAGACCAAATTCCCAATTGGCCCTAACTGGTCTTTCTTCCTCGTGTGGGTCCCTCTGACCAGCCACGGAAGGAAACATCCTTCAGCCAACAGGCAGTTTCTGCCTACAGGCCATAGAATAAATGATTGTGTGGGACCGTGCTTTGGGGCCTCATCCCATAAGCTTCAGATCCATGCCTTCCATGGCATCAAACGGAGGGCAGGTGGCAGAGGAGGGTGGGTGGAGGGCAGGAATAGATATGATTTCCTTTGCTGATGTATTTTTGTGTTCTTCCTTCACCACTCCCTTCTTCTCCCCCACTACAAGTCATTGATGCCCCACCAGCCAGATGTGACCCAAAGAAATACTGTCATAATGACAGCCGGAGCGGGGAAGCAGAAGCAGCAACAACTGCAGCCACCAATTTTCAGCAGCTGTGTTGTGCCTTCTCCCCTGGGGTGCGTGTGATAGAGCTCAGGCTGGGAATGGAAAGAGTGTCAGAGGTGAAGAAACAATCCCAGGCGCATGGGACATGCCTCTCTCTGATTTTCCCAGCACCTTCCCAAAACGTCCGTGTGTGTGTGTGTGCATCTGTTTGTGTGTGCACGCCTGCATGTGTGTATCCACACACGTGCACATACACACACCTAAAATTGAAACCTGGGTATTCATGATAGAAGCCCTTCCTAGCCCAGTGCTCCTGCTTTCAATTTCTCTAATTGCTTTGACCTTTCTATGGCCGTTTCTTCCTTCTTCCTCCCTCTCCCTCTTCCTTTCTCTCCAGCATCCCTCCTCCTTAGCCTCTAGGCCAGTATCTCTAAAGCACAGACTCTCAAATCACAGAATGTTTTAGCATCAAACATAAAGCTTTGTAAATATAAAAATACCCAAACCTCCCTCCAGGCCATTGAATTAGAAGCTCTGAAGTTGGAGCCCCACGATCTGCATTTTGAAAAAGCTCTCCAGGTGATTCTGATTTCCAGGCCAGAGTTTGAAAACGCTGCAGATGTAACCTATTGAACCTCATGGTGCTGGTATGATGCTGCTGGCTTTGAATTCATCTAGGGAGATAGTTTCCATGGGGAGGAAGGGGAAGTAAGGTCTTTAACTCAGAAAAATGAATTGTCCTTCAAGCACAAAGGGCAAGTCTAAAGGACTTGAGAAGGAGCAACCAAGATTTTCAAGTATAGTAATGCACAGAAACCCCAGAGCGGCATTCATTCTAAATCACCAAACAGCTGGAAAAGAATAGGTCACTAAAGCATCAAAGAAGCGATTGGTCAGCCGCTTGAGATGGCCTGAGATAGAAGGGACACGGGAGGGCACCTAGCAGAGGGCAGTGCTTGCTTCCTGTTGTGGGTGTTACGGAGTCTCTTTCTCTTTTCCCCTAACACCCATTATTGCATTCCATTGTTACGATTTTGAAGAGTGGACTAAAAATAAAATCAGACTTGATCAAATAACACCTGAGCATTGCTTCAGCTATGAAAGCCATTGGCCATGCATTGCGTTGAGGCCCCAACAAGCCGAGCAATTTGCTGAAAACATTTCTTCTACCTAATATCCTGTTTGAGGAGTGTGCAGATGACATAGTAAGGAAGGGCGGGCACCAGGCATTTGGAAACTAAACAAAACTCGGGTTTGGGATGTGGTTTCCTTAGGAAATTACTTCTTAAGCCAAAGGCTCATCATTTCTTCTCAGAATGTCCAAGCCTCTTAAAAACAGATGAGTAGGTGTGAGGAGTGGGATCAGATAAAAAGCACTGGCCTTCCTCAGAAGCGGTGAAGCACCAAGGAGGGAAGAACCTAGCGTGTAATGTTATCATTGGTTTCCATTCTTACTTACACGTGTTTTTTTGTTTTTGTTTGTCTGTTTTTCTCAAAAATCTAAACATCCCTACTCTTTTGCATGTAATTCAAGCTGGCTTGTCTCCCATGGTCTACACATGTGCCTTCTCAAAGATGGAAGAGGTTGCTGAGTCAACCTCCTTTTTAGGACCTTGTCTGTAGGATTCATAGGCATGCTCTGAGAATTCAAATTGCTTTGAAACTCTGAGCGTGACCTCTTTACACATTGCGGGCAATCACAACCAGGTGACAGAAATAACCATCAATTAAACATGTTTTCAGTGCTGACTTTGTATTCAGCACTTGAGACAAGCCCCCTCCTCATAGGAAACACAATGACATGGCCACTGATCTGGGGTTTGGGGCTCATGCAGAAGGTTACAGGTGGGAATGGTGGGAGAGGGGCAGCAGCTAGGCTAGGCGTCACACTAGAGAACTGTTTCTAGCTCTTTAGGAATCTTGATGTCTGAATAATCTTGATGCTTCATCAGGAGCATTCTGTTGACTTCTGTCCACCCCATGCCCTTCTGGGATCCCCAAGAACATTGCGCATTGTGAGCCACAGTAAAGAGCCTCTGGCCTGTGCTATCCAGAACCCATGTCCCTTCCCATCCTCTTGGGGCTGCCCTCTTCCTGACACCACCCATTGCCCCTGCATTTATTTCTCCATGATCAGTTCTTCTACTGATGTTTTTTAAAGTTAAAAATTAAGCTTAAAAATAAGCTTATAAAAAATAATGAGAAATCATGTAAAAGAAAGATTCTTAGAGTCACAAATAGTGTCTTCTCTAGTATCTGGGATTTGATGTTTTGGTTTGGCCAACAGGAGACCCTTCGAACAAAAGTCTACTGAGTTAACTTTTCATAAGTCACTTGTCAGCTCCGCTCTTCATCTTGCCATCCCACTACGTGTCTGGATGTGCAGAGAAGGTATTCCTCCTAAATTTACACACACACACACACACACACACACACACACACACAAGACAGCTATTAATCTGGTCTTTGTGCTGCTGAAATATCCCTTGTTTATGACAAAGGCCTTTTGCATCCAAGCAGGTTGAATTTGGGTGTTTTACCCTATTTTTTTCTACTGTATCTTCACAAAGCCACCTTCTTTCACTACAGAATATAGAGTTGCTGAAGGCTTCATAAAAGGTAGAGCTGAATTCTGCTGATGACCTAAGAGTCATTCTAAGTGAGGAGCAGAGAAACCCTCGAGTATCCTAGAAGCAGCCCCCAGGGCCCTTTCTCAGGCATCGGAGTAGAGGCCATGTTAGGACCTGCTCAGGATGGGTGGTGCCTGACTTTTCACCTGCTTCCGTGCCATCCACTCAGTGCACCTGTTGCCTAAAACAGAGAATCCCTGATCTAAACAGTAAACTGGCTGTTCAGAAGCATATCGAGGAAGAGAGTCAGCATCTTTCAAAGCCATTCTTTATTTATTTATTTATTAGGTTTCACTGTATTTATTTTGTTGGCATTAGATGAGTCCTTATGATTCTATAATTTAATTTATCAAACATTTCTTGAGCATTTGCTGTTTCCCGGGACAAGGGGTGTGGGAGCACAGAGAAGAATAAGGCCTACCCAGGCAGTTCAGGTCTAACGAAAGAGGTGTGGGCTGTGTGGAGGAACGCAGCTGAGCCATTCGGGGCAGTGCCCTCTGTGGGAGCAGGACAGCCCTGAGGGGCACAGAGCACTCCAGGGCTAAGTGGGGCTTTGCTGGACCAGGAGAGAAGGCTTTCTGCCTGGGGAGAGCAAACTTTGTCTCAGTTTGGGAGGCTGCAGAGACCTGGGTTTTAGATTCTCTTGACATTGCTATGGCTGTGAGCCAGCTGTCCTCTGCACAGGTCTTCAGATTGGGGGTCGCCACTCTAAGAGAGATCCCAACCTCACACATGATGTCAGTGCATAAGTCCGTCTGATTTCATGGATTTTTAAATATGGGGAGGAACTTCTTTTGTTGGCTCGCCTTGGTGCTCGGAGCTTGTTGTTTTCTTCCTCCATGTAAACTAAGCTTTTACCTGGGCTCTGAGACACTCCTGGGTTTTCAGCACACAATAAGCAGGGGCAGGGGTGGGGAGGAGCCGATCGGAACCTGTTCTGCAGCTTCCTGCTCACTCGGTGCTCCAGTAGGGCAGCCACCTGCCCGTGTTCCAGCAAGCAAGGTGACATAGGCTATGAAAGCCGCAGGTTGATGGGGCTGTTGCCCTGAGCTGACGCGTTCACTGGCAGCAGCAGATCCCGTCCCCCAGTGACACTCCGTGTAAAGCACCGTGGCTTTCACAGATTTGCACCTCCTGCCTTTTGATGGCAGGTGTCAGCCTCTTTCTCCACATTTGCTGAAACTATTCAGTCTTTTTGGATCCACAGTGCCTGTGCCAAAAACCTTACGGGAAAGGTACACACAGCTTGAAAACCCATGGAAGGCTGCTGGGCTGGAGAGTGGCCTTGAGGAGACGGGCTAGGGAAGCTTATTCCCCTATTTATCTTTTTGAGGAAAGATAAAAGGTGGACTTGAGGGTTTGAGTCTGGGTTCCCTTCAAGGAATTAGATGCTGGTTTCTGAAGGGTCTCTGGGAGTTTTCATTCAATGCCCTCTCCCTTTGCAGTGAGGCTGTTTCAGCCAAGGCAGGGGCCGTCCTGCCAGTTCCTAGGCCTGGATACCCTCAAGGCTACAGACAATGAACTAAGGAACATGACTTAATAGTTCTAGAAGACCTGTCCTTTATTTCACCTCTAAATAAGGGTATCGGCAATCTGGGCCATTAAAAAAAAAAAATCTGACTTTATTCTTTGTCTTCTTAATAGCTCCATTTCAGCTGCTTTAGGACATCAATTTCATGACTCCAGGCATCGCCCTACTTCAGAGCCACCCAGCTTTATGTGTTCTCTACTCAGCCAGCCCCCCAAAGTAGGTGGCCCAGAATACAGAGGAAAAAGTAAGAGGGAAATGAAAGGAGAACTTTCCTTTCAGACCAGAGCCAGGCAGACCAGAGAATCGCCTTCTGTGGCAGCCGAGCACTGCTCACCCAGATGGTGGGGTTCTGAGGACCACCCTGGCCTCACCCTCTCCATCTCTCATCTGTTCTCCTGCCTCCTGCCCTCACCTGCTGTTCCCCATCTTGAACCTCTAAAAATCCAGCCCACAGCCCAGGAGGGTCCTTGGTGAGCTCACATTCTAGCATGGAAGTCAATTAGCAAATAATAAGTGTAATAAATAGGTAACAATACAGTTATCAAATGGGAAGTGCTCTGGGAAAGCAGAGCAGACACAGGAAAATGGATGTGCTCAGTAAACCCATGTTCAATTGAATTTCACTATGGCATGGCCAAGTGGACACACATTGGGAATCTTACCTCCTCATGAATCTTACCTCCTCAGACACGATATTTGCACTATTCGCAATGACTATATTGGGTGAATTTTCCTACCCAAAATTTAGTAATATCAGATATATATCAATGAATCTGTAAAGAACATATTGGGATGTAACACTTCAAACCAGTCAGACTAGCCAGACCTCTCAGTACTTCTCAGTCTTTTATTTCTGGCAAGCAGAGAACATCATGTTTATCCAGCCTACTTAGGCAAATGCATGAGGCTGCTGAAGCTATGAAGCCCAAGGGCTGAGGGCATTAATATCCTAGCTGCCTGAACTCCTTTGAGGCCCCTGGGTGGGAATTGTGAGATTGTTATCAAACTTGAGATACCCAGAATCACCTGGGGAGGTTAATATGCAGACTGTGGACCACCCTGAGATGTTGGGGGAATGGGGCAGGAATCTGCTTTGTTAACAACTCTGCCAAAGGTTTCTGATGCTGGTGGCCCTGGGACCACACTCTGAGGATCACTGCTGTGCAACCTTGCAGAGGTACCTGGCGAGCCACAACACTTGTCTTGCTACATTTGAACTTGGGAGCTGTGGCAAGAACAGTGCAATCAGGGGTGCTCAAGCGTGCGTCAGAATCACCTGTAAGGCCTGTGAAAACATGGGTTGCTGGGCCTCCCCCACAGTGTCAGGGTGAGGTCTAGGTAGATGCATTTCTGAACAGGATCAGAAATGAGGCTGTTAGTCCGTGGACCACACTCTGAGATTCATTGATGTGAATCATTCAGGATGCTTGTGTGCTTTGGAAGTTTAGGTTTCTATGATCTAATTTCACAAGGACAAAGTTGGGCTCATTTTTAAAAAGGTAGAATTTAACCCAGTTTAGTCAGAAAGCATCAGAAGAGATAGATTTGAGAAACTAAATCAGAATAAGTTTCCTCACCACTGGCTGGAGGGTGGATGTGAAGATAAATTGCAGATAAACAGCTGTTCAATTTATCTTCACATCCACCCTCCAGCCAGTGGTGAGGCTGATAAATGTTTAGTCATAGCTTCTTAGGAGCAACAGGTAGAGGAGGCTGATATATATTGTTTGCCTATCTCTGTGGTGTAAATATTTCCACCATGGTTAGTTTCAAGCTACCAGTGTGGTCACTGAACACGAAGCTGGGAAGAGATGTGCAACAGTGAGCTCCCCACAACAGCCAGGAGCCAGCTCTGGGCACCACTGCCTCCGACTGCCATAGGGGTTTGTGACTTTTCAGGGCATTCTCCACCATTCAGTAGTTACCGTCAGTTTCCATGTCAAGGACCATTTCCATCTAAGCTGTGGCTGCAGTCACAGGACCTTTCTCTGAATGCATAAACCAAAATGATTACCTCTCCCCACCAGTGGCCCGCGGTATATGTGAAGCACTGGGGTTTAGCCTCTAACTTCTGGGCTTGGCCTAGGGTCCAGGTGGCAAGCCCTTGAGGAAGGTTATCTTTCCTCACACATCCTCTAAGGTTTCAGTTCTCCAGGCCTGTAAGCAGGAGCTGCGCACTTCATACACGAAGGTCAGGAGCCTTCAGGTGCAACCAAAGGCTTAATGTCCATGCAAACCCAAGTGAGCTAAACATCCCATGCTGAAGAAAGTATTTTTTGAGGTGACCCATTTTCTCAGACAAGTGAATAGAAAACATTGGAGAAGTATTTGTTTTCCAGAAAATAACACAACAGAGAGACAGAGTGATTCCTCTTGAGGCAGAGCTGGCCGAGGTCCCCTTCGGTCACAGGAGATCCTTTGAACATGGGTGATGCCCCGGGTAACACGGATATCCTGGGGCACATGAACAAAGCCCACATTCAGCGCCATCTATCTCCTCCAGATCTGCTCACAACTCTGCCTGCCTCTTTGCTATAACCCAGTTCTGCTTCTTCTTTCCTAACTTTCCTTCGTCTTTCCAGATGCAGGACGCTATGGGCTATGAGTTACCCTGGGTGTATTTTGTCAGTCTGGTCATCTTTGGATCCTTTTTCGTTCTAAATCTGGTTCTCGGTGTGTTGAGCGGGTAAGCTGACCGTTTCTATGTCCTCTCCACAACGCAGCCGAGCAAGGTCTCAGGTTCCACTCCATCCATGCCTGGGGTCCTCAGGGACGGGACCCTGACAGGCCCAGGAAAACCACAAAAATGTCTCTGTTCAACCACAAATTCTGACCCATTGGCTGGGTAGGCTGTTTGGCCTCTGATTTGCAGCTAGAGGGTCCCCGGGTCCCGGAGCTGCGTGGGTCAGTGTCCCGGGAGCCAGGGACCGATGCTGGCCGTGCTCGGTTGCTGAGTGTGCCTCACTAACTATCATTCCATTCTTCCAGGTCAATGATGCCGTAGGAAGGGACTGGCCCTGGATCTATTTTGTTACACTAATCATCATAGGGTCATTTTTTGTACTTAACTTGGTTCTCGGTGTGCTTAGCGGGTAAGCAGGACCAAGGAAAAAGGTCTTGATTTTTCCATTTATTTTTATTTCTTCTTTCTGCTATTCCTGGCTGCATTCTTTTTCTGACTCTGATGAACCTGGGATAGGGGTCAACACAGGAGCCTTGAAGTGAATGTCCTTGTCCTGGCTGGGTAAAGGATCAGATGTGCCTCTGGTCTTGGTGGTGAACAATGGAGGAGAGCTGGCTTCACCACAAAAGCTGGGTCCACCCAGCCCCTCCCAGCCTTAAGCAGCTGTCCAGGCAGGAAGGGCACTTCTCCTTGTGCCTTCATGGCCTCTGGTGAGCAGGCCTGGGGAAGAAGAGACTGGTTTAAAACATAATCAAACAAAGGCAGACTCAAAATCTAATTCTCTTCCATTTTAATTCATAGACTGAGCAGCGTATCTCCGAGTTTCCTTTTCCGAATGGAAAGGACCCTTAACTGTTTAAAGCCATAGATTATTTAAGAATAAAGGAGATGGGATGCACTTTCCTCTAACTTTATCTAATTGGCTGCAAGTATCATATCTACCTAACTTCAGCCCTTGCTCAGATGAAGTTAGAAGTGGTAGAAGTAGCCAGGCGTGGTAGTGCACACCTGTAGTGCCAGCTACCCAAAAGGCTGAGGCAGGAGGGTCGCTTGAGCCCAGGAGTTCAAGGCTGCAGTCAGCTTTGCTCACGCCACTGCACTGCAGCCTGGACAACATAGTGAGACTCTATGGTAGGAGTAGCATGTGGTGGGAAGGCCAAGGAGCCCTGAGGATGGCCACCTTTTCACCATGGAAATACGTGGGATATTTCCTTAGCCCACCGTCTTCTTCAGAAGTCCACACCAGCCATGCCAAGGCCTAACACCTAAATGCTCCTGGTGACCTGCTCATGGGTGACCCACTCTGCTGCCTTTGTCACGTGGGGGAGGGGGCAATCTGCTTCTACTCTGCTTGAGACCAGTCAGCTGCTTTGCAGAGTCTTTCTTAGATGTCTAGAGATGTTAATGCTGGCAGAAATTTAGGCGTAAAGAGAAAGATTGCTCCCCACTATCCCCCAGTGCATAAACTGGGAGCGGCTACTCTCACCTCCTGCAGCTGCCCTAATGCAGTGCAGAGCAGTGGGCTTGGCCTTCAGAGCTGCTTGGAGGAAAGGATCTCCTCCCAGCCCTTCCACCTCCCATGGAGAATGGCCCGATAGAGACCTTGATGACAAAATGCCTTTTGCCAAGGTGAAGCCACACGGGAGACTAGTGCCTCCAATGAGGGATAACAATGATGAGCAGCACAACATAAGTCACTGATTCATTGCCTGGAAAGTAGAGAGGTGTTCAGTTTTATGTTCAAACACAAGAAAATGCCCCTGTGTTTACAGGTGAATCTTCAAGGAAAGGATTGAAAAAATCAATCTCATCACCGTGAATCAAAGCAGAAATTGTGGCATCCCAGCTCTGCCCTTGCTGGGTGCATGACGTTGGGTGGTTTCACCATTTTAAATCTTAGTTTCCCCAACTGAAAAAGTGAAGATGATAAGTCCAATGCCTAGGTGGCTGTGGTGATACAATAAGATCACTTTCAGAATACTTAACACAGTGGCATATAATAAGTGCCCGATAATGGTGCTGTCGTTACAACGATTATTATTTACTGGTGCCTGTAATAACTGGAGTTGCAGAATCATCAAATGTTAGAAGTTCTCCAGCCTTTCCTCTTAAAGATGAGGAATTCGGCCGGGCACGGTGGCTCACGCCTGTAATCCCAGAACTTTGGGAGGCTGGAGCAGGCGGATCACCTGATGTCAGGAATTCAAGACCAGCCTGACCAAAGTGGAGGAACCCCGTCTACTAAAAATATATAATTAGCCAGATGTAGTAGCACATGCCTGTAATTCCAGCTATTCGAGAGGCTGAGGCAGAAGGATTGCTTGAACCCAGGAGGAAGAGGTTGCAGTGAGCCGAGATCGTGCCATTGCACTCTAGCCTGGGCAACAAAAGTGAAACTCTATTTCAAAAAAAAAAAAAAAAAAAAGACAAGGAACACAAGCCCAAAGATGTTAAGTGACTCATACAACGCCGCTTCCCTCGTAAGTAACAGAACCAGAGCCAGCACTCTGGCACTGCCTCCCATAAGATCCACGATGAATGAGCTTGAACTGCAACACAAGCCACAGCTCAAGACTTAAAGGAATGTAACTCCACTTTCTTCTCCTAGAGATTGGGAACCAAATCTGAGCAAGTAACCCCCTGCCAGGGGCCTGAAGTGGAGAATGAGGGCTGGACCCTGAGCTGAGCTCCCTGAGCTGAGCTCCCTGAGCTGAGCTCCCGCCCACAGTCATTCTCGGCCCCCCAGAGGAGTAATCTTCCTGGTGGAATCAAAGCAGCGACGTCAAATGACAGAAGCTGCTGATGTTGGAGAAGGAGCCACTTCAAAGGCCATATCTTGGCTGATTCAGCCTAAATGTGCTAGGGTGTGTTTAGACACCTCACCCCAAACCTGGAGTTTAATAATACTCCGAAATGTAGGTTGACTCAGAACAAGGAGAGTAAGGCTATTGAACCTCAGAACCTAGGAGTCTTTGAGTCTGTACGCTGGTCTTTCCTGGAGACCTTCCCCAGCCTCTCTTTCCTGGCCTGTTCTAAAAGCTGCCATCTGCTCCTTGCAGCTCCTGAATCACTGATAGAACATCTGCCAAGGTTTCCTTGGCCAGGGGTCTGCCCTGAAAAGCAAAGAGGTATGTGTGGGTGAGCACCTCCCCTTTCTGATTTAAGGAGGCCTCTCCTTCTGTGTCAAGGGCTGGCCACTCTGAATTGCTTGCCCCTACCCCATGCAGTGACAAAGCTGGAATCGGGCTTCTGTTGGCTGACCACTCAGAGGCAACAGTTTCCAGTCAGTGTCTTGATTAGCCAGGATGAAAGAATAGTCACCCACTCACTGGGTATAGATGTAGTCCACCATGCAGTCAAACACCCACTTATTCATCAGACTTCTGGTTAAACTTCCAGAAGCATTCAAAAAGGTCTCACAGCTCCATGAAATTGACTGTCACAATGATAGCATTAACAGTCACTAGCATTCTCTGTGTCAGGCTCTTTGCTCCTCCGAGTATTGACTACATTAGCTCAGTTAATGCTCATGGCAACTCTGTGAGCTGGTGCTATTCCTGCGGCCATTCTACAGAGAAGGAAAGTGAAGCTTAGTGGCCAAAACGACCTCAATTCCAGCAGGTGAAAAATGCTGGATGCACAGTTAAGCCCAAGTGATGTGAATCCATCACCTCTATCCCTGACCTCTGTGGTGCACTCTCCCCAAACCCATGTGATGGGTGAATCCCATGTTTTTAAATGACAGACAAGAAGTGGGGTGGGGAAGAGCAGAAGCTGCAGTAGGAAGGGTGAGAGGAACAAGCGGACAGGCACAGAAGCAACCAGCGCAGGCTGCGGGAAACAGCCAGCAGGCACATAGAATCCCAGCAGGAAGCTGTGAAGGCACTGCCCAGAGGCCTGCGGCAGCACAGGGCTCTTTAGCAGAGGGGCTGGCAGCCCTGCAGATCTTCATGGCCCTTGAGAGACAGCAAAGATGCTGAGTAGCACTGCAGTCTTGGAGCCTCCTGTGACTGAGAGAAGTGGGTGTGAAACCCTATATTTCAACAATTAAGGAGACTATGATTTTATCTTCTAGCACAGTAGTTCACCCTCATAAATTATGTCCCTCAGTCACTAAGAAAAGGTTGAATGGTGCTTGGTGTGTTCTGCTCATGAAGGTAGAGAAGACGACTCCATAAAGCTTCTCTGTAATGCGGTAGAAGCCTTTGGACACTGGACTCTAGTTACTTTTTGGTTTTTAGCAACTGCAGACAGAGGGCTTGGGAAGTGCGCCTCCAGTTGGCAAGAGGCCCACCATCTCTTACAAAGATCGTCATTCCATCCCTCTTCCCATTGGGAGATAAGCTTGTCTTGTCCCCAAAAAAGCAGAAGACCCAGGAAGGAGATAGGCATTTTATAGCCAGGAAGTATCACTGGACCATGGCCCCACAGTTAAGACACAATATCCAGGCCCAGAAGAAAGCAATGAAAGGGCAGGACACACGTGCTTTGTGAATGGGAGCAGAAGAGACGGCCCAACATACACAGTCAGTGCCCCTTATTCATGACGGTTACATTCCATAAAGTCACCACGAACATGATCTACAAGACCCTCAGACGTTGGTCCTAGAGGAACTATAGGGTTATTTCCTGTGAGCCTCTGGTCACATTTTGTCAACCAATCAATACATAACCTTGTTTTAAGTGAGCTTCTATTTAAAGACACCTTATTTGATATATATGATTGATTCATTAACATTAAACTCATTAAACCAGCACTGTAACTCGCACCTGCGTGAAGCTTATTTAATCCATGTTTTCTCTGTGCCGCACATCACAGCCTTCTTACACATAGTGACACTGGGCGGCACTTGAGCATTACGCTTGGGGCCATTTTAACAGCAAAATCACCGACAAAAAGCACAAAAATGTGAAAACATGACACTAAGTGGATGGTGAAAAGGACACCTCACAGTATGAAAGCTGAATTGGGAAGGCAGGACTCTACATGCTGCCTTGTGTGACCTCAGTGGGAACACGTAGCGTTTTTGTTATCTGCACACGGCCACATATGACTAAAACTGCCACAACTATTGATTCTGGAGTTACAAACAAATTTTGGTGAGCAGGTGCATTTGTAGATGTGGGATCCACAAATGAGGAGCCTGGGCGGTATCAATGATCAAAGGGGCTAGCGCTCTTCGGGCTGTTGTTGGATTCCACATGCACCGTCCTTACATCACTGAGCCCTGGCCCCTGGCTCCCCACACCACCCCTCATTTTTCATGTTGGCCGTTGCTAGCGAGAGATGCAGTCCTGCCTCATGACAAATCCCACAGCTGTGACTGATTGTCTGGCCAGCTGCAGTCCCTGGGCCCGGTGTAGCCTGTCAGGCTGGGGCTCCATGTCTTCATTAACTCAGTCCCCAGAGCAGGCACATGGCTGGCATCCAGGCAAGGAGATAAAGAGAGCCAGGCACCACCACCAGCAGATCCCTTACCGCATGGGGACTGCCAAGGGAAACCTTGGCTCACCTTCCATCCAGCCTCAAGCCCGGCTGTGCCTCACACTCCATGGGAGACAGCCATGCTCCAGATCTGACTAAAGCCCTTCTCCAACCCTCTTACACTCCCAAAACCCATCCTTCCTCTACAAGGACAATTGTCTTCAGGCCAGGCAGAATCACTAGTGTTCTGTTTCTCCCGCTGGATGTTTATCTTAGATTCCCAGAGGCCTTGGGGTACAGACGGTGAACTTCATTCCATGGGGCCGATGCTGTTGAACAGGACTGGGCCGATTGTCCCTCCTCCAGTTGAGCCCCAGCCCTATTCTCCCAACCCCAAAAGAAGGATGGGCCCATGTTTTGTAACCAGAGCTTGATCCTCTGCAAAGTCACTCAGAAGAGCTGAAGTGAGCCCTTACAAGGGACTGTGAAGTTCATTCAGCCCCTTGCAACTCCAGACCAAACCCACCCCAGAGGGGTGCAAATGGAGGTAGGCAGAAAGACAGTCAAGAGAGGAGGCCTTGAAACAGTTTTTGATTTGCATAGGGAGAAAAATGCTATATGAGGTTACTGTCCCCAGGACCAAGACTAAGTCCCTGGAGGCTTCACCAGGTACAAGGGATGAGAAGTTAGGGGAAGAGAGGGTGGCATCTCTCTACAGTCATCCCCAACATGGAAGGAGCAAAGCTTCCCTCTCCATTGTGAGCTGTAAATCTGTCACCTTTTCCCTAGCATAAAACTCCTTGGGAAGGAAATGAAGATACCCGCTAGTTGGCAGAAAGCCTGAGAAATAGCAAGTTCAATCCAATTAGAATTGGATTCAATCAAATTTAAGAAGAAAATTCAATCCAAACCAGAGCATCACTAAGGCTGCAGTTGAGGAGAACTGGTTAGCTTGAGAGCCCCCACATTCTCCCAATTAAAAATTTCCCTAGACCCCAGCCCAGCCCTAACCCCGTCTCACCATAAAGATGGTACATGCTAAAATCAGTGCTCTCCCAAGTGGCATAGGCCAAATGCAAGCACTAGGCAGTGCATGTACTGGTGGAGCTGCCTCACGTGATGGTAGACTCAGCAGCAGAGCCCTTTGTCCTCTTATGGTTTGTGGTGCTGTCCCTCCTTCCATGGTGCCTTTCCTAGAGTGTGGCTTGAGCCAAAAATTCTCTAAGAGGCCTCTTGCCCTGAACTACACCTTTACTGTTGAGAGAGGAAGGCATCATGGCTCCAAGAATTAACCAAGATGTCCTGTGGATGTACACACACACACATACACACACACACACACACATGCATGTACCACCAAGGGCCTCATTCTCCAAAGACTGCATACACACATACACACACACACACATAAACACAAACACACATATACATGTACCACCAAGGGCCTCATTCTCCAAAGACTGCATACACACACACAAACACAAACACACATATACATGTACCATCAAGGGCCTCATTCCCAAAAGACTGCATATCAAAGCCAAAAATACTTCCCTATAACTATTTTGGAAGAAAAGACCCAGACTTGCTTTGAGGGTTGAGAACTCACTTTCTTGATGACTGCCTTCTGCTGCCAGCCTCCTCCTTGCTCAGAAAGTGAATTCGAAGTCAGAGAGAAAATTAGGACAGAATCATAGAAAAGAAATAGTCTTTGTGTCAGAAATTTTGCAATAGGCCCTTCTTCCAGCAAATCCCACTCCAGTTCCAATTTCTGCTCATTATTACTTTAAACTAAATGCATCATTTAACTTTTATATCATCTTGATTTTATGTATTTTTCTATTCCGATTGGATTTTTTAAACCAAAAGGGCAGTCCCCAGGACATTTTCTTGTGTTTGGAATCTTCATTTGTCTCCATGTGGGAGAGAACCTTCTCTAGATTAGAAATCCTTCCAGGCATGCTGAGTGGCAGGTTGAACTCATCATAAGAGTAGAGATTGAGGACATTAAATCTTCTAGTCCCAAATCAGTGGTAGACTGATAAACAGTTAACAGTTGTCTCTCTGGGGGAAAGCCCTGGTTCTCGGCATTCACGAGTTACCATGGTGTAAATACTCCCTTTGTGGCTGATCTCGAGCTACCAGTGAGACATCCCCGAAGCCAGAGTTGGGAAGAAACATGAATGGTTGGCTCTCAGGACACGGCACGAGTGAGTGGGCTTTGGTACCTGCCGGTCCCAACACCTTGTGTCACCTGGGGACCCTTGGGAGAATTGTAAACTGCCACTCAATCTGGGAGGGATGGAAATGCATGTTCTGGAACAGTGGTGGGGGCAGCTTTTAGTTACTGCTCAGAACGGGTCTCCAGGTCTTTGGAGAACAGTCATTTAAAAAGCAAAGCCTGTGATCATGATCCGGGAAAAGAGGGAGATGGACTTCATCCATCCCTTTGGCCTCTGCTGGCCTGTGTCAGGAATGTCCCCTTAGTGCCACTTCCCACTGAGGTGAGAGTAGACAAAACCTGGGCTGACTAGAGGAACTCTGTGGAAAGTAGGGCCATGTGGGCAGGTTTCTCCCCACAAAGCAATTAAGACTCTTGTTTCTCCTTATCTCCATCTCTCCTTCCATGCCCGACCCTTCTTGGTGCCCCCTCCTTGCTCTCCTCCCCTGCCCCTCCTCTCACTCTCGCCAGAGAGTTTTCCAAAGAGAGGGAGAAGGCCAAGGCCCGGGGAGATTTCCAGAAGCTACGAGAGAAGCAACAGCTGGAAGAGGATCTCAAAGGCTACCTGGACTGGATCACTCAGGCCGAAGACATTGACCCGGAGAACGAGGACGAAGGCATGGATGAGGAGAAGCCCCGAAACAGTGAGCAGCCATCTTCTTCTGTGTTTGGGCTGGGTTCTGGGGGAGAGGAGACAGCACAAAACCTTGACTGTCACTGTTTCTTGGCAGCCCCAGGTGTGCCTTCCTGGAAAAGCACTTACCTCACTGATGGCAGTCACTTGCTACACACAGACATCAGTCGCATGTGGGAGATCACAGCTGTCGATCTGTAAAACTTCATGCTCCTTTTAGAATATTTCACCTTAAAAGACAGTTGAGATTTTGCTAAAGCAGAGGCTTTTTAAAAATCAGAGATCCTTCTCCTCCAGGTTCTACCTCTTTGGGCAGGGGCACAGGCTTCCTGTTTGAAAGCACAGGCTTGTTTTAAAGGAACAATGTCTGAAAAACTTCATACCTGCTCAGGATTCCTTCCCCCCTTGCAGAAAATTTCCAGGCACCGCTGGGCTTTTTCATAGGAAAGGTAGTCGAAGGTTTTCCTTAAAGGGGTTAGATCCAAAGACCTGTGGAAGTGCTAAACGGGAGGGGTGGGAGAAGCCCAGAGGAAACATAATTAGGTGATGGAAATCGAGACAGTGCCTTCCTCGGGGGTTCACATGGCCCATTGTTAGGTAGGCTGTTGCTGGGATGGAAATGAGAGTAATGTATGACGTTGACTCACAAATATGCACAACATGATGGATCATGGAAATTCAGGCTCTTATCAGATTAGCCCCGTGGTTCTCAAAGTGTGGCCCCTGGCCAGCAGCATCAGCATTACCTGGAAACTTGGTACTAATGCAAACTCTTGGGCCCCACTCCAGACCTCCTGACCCAGGAACTCTGGGGATGGGACCCAGGAGTCTGTGCTTTGACAACTCACCAGGTGATCAAGATGCGTGGTAAATTTGAGGACCTTTGGGTTAGCTCTAACCACTCTGTGTGTCCCGTTTGGCCTTGATCTCTGTGACTGTAACCACACTCTTTCTTCCCTTTTCTGAGTGCAGTATTTTTCTCTTTCAGTATACATGTGTGAGTAGGTGCATTTCTGTCCTCTCAAGGAGCCTTACTTAAAAACAGTTTCCTAAACACTGAGCATCTAGAGTAGTCCAGGAAGCAAACAGGTTAAAGAGCCATCCAGGGCACCACATGGAGTCATGCCAGTAAAGGCAGGGAGCCGGAACTTCACCCTGAGCAGAGAGGACATTGAGAAGAGCCACCAGGAGAAGGAACAGGTACAGGAAGAAGGGATGAACACAGCCAAAGGTGTTCACAGGAGCAGAATCTCTGCTCTCTCATTTCAAATTTAGATTTAATAAATCTATCAACTGCTCCCTTTCTGATAATGCTCCTCAAGGAGCAAATACAAAATTAAAGCACACAAACAACAAGGGACTGGTAACAATATAATTTAGTAACCTAAGAGGCCTTTGTGCTCTACTAAGTGGTTTTGCAAGTTGGAAGACAGGGCCTTTGATGGATTATCACAATGAGTAATGATGCCGTTGAGGGTCTTCCTGGAAGAATGCCTGACAGCTTCTATTACACTGTTGATAGAACTGAGGAGTCATTGATTAGTTTGTGGCGCTGAGTGGTATGGTAAATAAATAAGGTGGCCTGTGAGCCACGGAGAAGCATACCTCTAAAATGCAGGTATTTGTATCCTGGCTCCTGGCTCCACTCTAAGTCAGAGCATTGCCCCTAGCTTGTGACTAATGGTGATGAGCATTTCTGTAGCATGTGTTATTAAAATCCAGCAGTAGCCACTACCTGCTCAGCAGCCAGTAGCTATCCACTGAGATAACAGAACATAGCTATTCTGTTCTTTGCCTAAAGCAGGAACTTCCAAGTGGAGGGGTGGGGGTGTGCTACTTCTCCATCTTACCCATTAAATGAATAAATTCCTAGGAGAGTTCCTAGCATGGAGTATTCTTTGCTGCTGGAGGACACCACATTGACAAGGCCCACCTACCCAAATTTCTGGACAAACTTTGAGAAGGGCATAATGAGCTGCCTACCCCAATAGACAGAGTCTCTGCCAAGATTTTCCTAAGCCTAGATAAGGATAGCCTTAGACCCTGGAGACTGTGGTTTCTCTTACTTTGCACTGTTCCCTTATGGCTGGAGGAGCCCTGGGGGTCTGTTTCTTGTTCTAGGAGGACTGGAATGGGAACCTAGCTCCTTCATTAGTGGAAATGCTAATTCATGGGACAGTTCCAGGGGATGAGGCAGGGGAATGAATATTTTAAAAAGCAAGGTGTAGAGAGTTAGATAGATGCGTGCAATGAAGTGGAACATGAGAGACAGGAATGGAGCCAGGAAGAGAGTCCAAAGGACTGAGTCTGCTGGGGAAGTCCAATTAAAAGTAGAGATGATGTGATGAAATGATTAAGGAATCAGAGGCCTAATACACTTGCAAAAAAGGCAAGACAGTGAGTGGCTCAGAAACTAGCTTCCTGTCTTGACAATTTCATACATTGCCCTTTGAAACAAATACAGGAGAAATCCTGCTGTTTGAAGCATATGTGTTTCAATTACTATAATATCGTAGCCTTTGAAATTTCAGAAAGATTACAGTATGGTCTGTTTGCCAACTGTCTTCAGCTCAAAAGCTAAGTGATCTTTTAAGAGAAAAAAGGCTAATCACTCTCCATCAGCGTCTGTGGTGACTCCGCTTCCCCACGAGGCAGCGTCTGGATGCCTGTGGTGTGGGGCTGGGGAGGTGGGGCTGGGTGCAGTTCAGGAGCTGCTTGGTGGCACCCAGCATACCTGAGGGGAGCCCAGTGATTCCATTTTCTTAGGGAAAGCTGCAAAAGCCACCAAGGATGTAGAAGAAATGGGCTGGAAGGACAACAGAAAGAAAGCTGCAGTTGGGAGGCATTTCTCTAAATATGAGAGTAAGTGAAGTAGCCAGTAAGTCATATACAAAAATAAGTTCCAGTTCATTCATTCATCAGTCCACCCATTCACAAACAAGAGGTCTGCTCTCTGCCAGGCACTGTCGTAGACGCTGGTGATAGAGCAGTGAACAAGAGAGTCAAAACTCCCTGCCCTCATGGAACTTAGATTCTAGTAGAGAGACCTATGGTAAATTAATTAGCAGGCCAGAGAGGGACGAAGCAGTGAAGGGGCAAGAGTGTTGAGAAGTTTGTGATTTTAGAGACTGCAGCAAAGGAATGTCTCACAGAGAAGGCAGCATTGAAATAAAGACTTGGAGGCTGGAAGGAAAGGCACCATGCAGATAGTTGGAAAAAGAGCCTTCCAGGGGCTAGCAAGAAGGGGCCCACACTGATGAGTCCGGAGCAGAGGAGGCTTGTACAGCTGGAGAGGAAGGAGTAAGGGGGTGAGTGGTGTGATGTAAGGCTGTAGGACCCAGAGAGTAGGGTATGTAAACTGTTGTCAGAAAACTTGGCTCTTACTGGGAATGAGCCAAATAGCCTCTGGGGGTTTTGAGCAGAAAATCAACATGATCTGACAGTAATCAAGGTCCGTCTGCCTGCCACGTGCAGAATGGAGTGAAGGTGGGCCAGGGAGAGGCAGGAGTCCCGTCGCGTGCTGCCGCCTCAGGAGATGTTGGGCCTGGTCTTGACACCCATGGAGGTGATAAGGTCAGGTTTCAGGATGATGTCATTTGCAGACACATCAGATATGGGATGTGAGAGATAGAGGTCGGGCATTTTCCAAGGCAATTGTCCTAAATGATGCCAAGAGTGGAATTGTCATTTATGGATATGGGGAAGTCTGTGAGAGGAACAGGTGTCAAGGCAGGAGGATCAGGAAAGCCATGTCGGATCTTTAAGTTTGAAGTGCCTATTAGACATCCAGCTGGGGCTGTTGAGTAGATAATAAGAAAGGAACCTCTCCAGGGGAGAGATCTGTGGCTGAACTGTAATTTGGGGAGTCAACAGCATATAGAAGATACCTAACTCCTGGATCTCTGGATGAGCTCACTGGGGTGTGAGTGTAGACAGAAGTGAGATGTGGCCCAAGAACTCAGTCCCAGCCCTACTGATGTTTGAAGATTGGGATAAAGGAAAAGAGCCAGCAAAGGAGACTCCAAAAGGTATGGCCAGAGAGACAGGATGGAATGCAAAGGTAGAGGGGTCAGTGTTGCTGCTGTGACTGGAGACTGACCATTGCACTCCACAACGTGGGGCTCACTTGCTGGTGCCTTGACACAGGCTGTTGGATGAAATGTTGGGGGAAAATCTTCCTGGAAAATCAGCCTTACTCTGTGCGCCTCTCGAGTCTGCATGCCTCCTGCAATGGCATGGAGCATTGCTGTGCACACTGCTTGCTTCTTTGGCATGGCCCAGCTTCCAGCTGTCTGAAGAGTTTGGCCATCAGGAAACCAGAAAGGGAGGAGGAGGAGACTCACACAGACTCTAGCATGCCCATAGCCTCAAGACGGTCAGTGTCTAAAGCTTAGCCCATCATGATACGATGTTCCCTTCTATACCAGTGCCAGTACTAGCCACAGCCTCTGCAACTGGTTACAGACAGCCTGAGAAAAAAGAGGACACGATACTCAAGAGCCATTTCAGAACCAAAAAGAGGAAAAAAAAGGGGCATGTTTACACACTGGTACCCTGGATGCAGCTTCCTAAATGGAGCAGCCAAGAGCCAAGCACCTTCTCTCTCTGGATAAAGACTAGGATAATGTTGAGGTCTCCCCCGCCTAGTGACTGCTTCTTCCCTCCCTCTGAGCAGCAATGAGCAGCCCCTGTGAAGGGACCCATTGCAAAACCATCATTACTGCACGGGGTTTATTGTCATCAGCAGAGATGCACTGCTCCAAGGCACAGGGTTCATCTTCCAGCTCCAGTGTTAAATCTAATAGAAGGCCAGACACTAGAGGGAGACGCCGTAAAGAAAAGAGACAGATTTTCTTCTTCCTTTTTCCTCTTCAAGATCAAAAAACGTTTCATTTCATTTATTTATTTATGGATATTTATTAAATATCCATCCTTACAGGAATCTCTCTCTCATGTCATTAGCACAACTTGAATGCAGCCCTGGCTCTCCAAAGCTTGCAGTCTAAGACA